ATGCAAAACTCAGTTCGGTTTTCAAAATCATTTCCATAAAGTTCTTGGCAAAGCTGAATTTTATAAGGATAAAAGTTGTGCTTTTTGATAATTCTTGAAATATTTGATTGACTAATGTTAGTACTTTTGGATATTAGATTTTGACTAACATTGGGATTTTCGATAACTGATCCAATTACCGTGAAAACATTTTCTTCATCTTCAGTGACAGATTTCCTATTAATGGGTTTTTTATAATTGACACTCCCACTTTCCTCAAATTGGTGTAATAAGCGCTTGAAAACTGTTGGCTTAGGATGATTTCTTTCGGGAAACTTTTGAGCATAAACTCGAGAAGCCAATAAACCATTTTTATGACATTCTGCAAGGGTGAAAATCATGTCAATACGCTCTTCTTTTGGATAATTCTTCATTTTCACTTAGCAACACAATAATAATATTAAAATAACGACCAACACGTCTGCAATTACAAAAAACAATACCACTCTAGCTATCAAAAAAGACTTTGCAGTCTAAACTGACAAATAAAATAAATGATTTGACATGTGTAAATGCCATAGGCAACTTTGATACATTGGAACCTTAAATTAAACAACACCAAATGGTGCACATAACGACTATTTTACGGATTTTGTAAAAAGGCAAAAACTTAGCTATTAACATCCTAATACCATTCGATAGATAATTAAAAATTGCATTTCCTGGTAAGTTAAAAAATATGGAGTTGTATTTAAATTAATCAAGTTGGAGCCACTTAAAGTTCTTATTTGATTAGTATAAATTTGTGGACACCCTGTATAACATGGTAAGTTTATTATCATTGGGATATAAAATATTACATCTTGTTACAGTTCACTATAAATTAAGCTTACATAACTTAAATACTTCTAAAGTATTTGACACGTGAAAATTAGATTAGATTTTGATTAAATCCGTATTATTTATAAAACCTTAAAATTTAGGTATCATTAACCTTATTAAAACACACTTATTTGGTTTAGCGAATCCAAAAATTCAATAATATACCGGACATTCCATTTAAAAAAACGCAACTTTGATACCTTTAGAGCTTTTGGGACACCCTGTACATTACAAAAATATTTTTTAAATGTGCGCTCGGTA